TGAGGATTATTTGGGTACGTTATTTTTTAGCTTACTGTGCAGGAATTGATGTAATTTCTCGAAGTGGGCTGAAACCTCGTAGATTCTCATCGAGAAAGACCTCAGCGCTATTGGCCCGACTCGTGTGAGGCTATCGGCTAGGGTGCTCTATGTATTGTTCACATTGTTGTTTCACGCATTCGGTCCTTTTTGCTATTGTTTGGGCGTGAGCCTCACCCCTCTACCCCATTTGAACCTTTTTTTGTAGACGAGTTGCTGGGCAGTACTATTTTGCGAGTGATTGGCGCTCATTGGCATGTGACGAACTGGCACGATGAACCGCTGAATGCGGCTCTGCAGCGAAGTCTTCAGCTGCTGAACGAGCGTGCTTTTGTTGTGGAGACTGGCGATGAAGTACGCAGAAAATTCAGTCGGAACTCTGATTTGCTTTGCTCAGCTGTGTTTTTCAGGATGATACGTTTGTCTTCGAAGACATTGTCGGTGCTACACAATTGACTGTGCTTTATCCGATGATACGTGAGCTTCTTTCACCATCTAGCCACTTCGGAGATGATATTAGAGAAGCTACCCTGACCCTCTTGCAAAATGCTATTCATCGACGTTTCCTGAAGGTTTGCGTTTTTGGATCTGTGAAAGTTGGTACGTTCTCTTCAGAAATCAAAATACTGAATATACTAAGAAAAGCTTAAGAATGAAGTATTCTCATTTTTGTAATTCTGCAGCTCTGGTGCAATTTTCAGGATAATGCTGTGCTGCAATTACCAATGAACGAATACGCAACACTGTTGCTGTCGGAGTATGCGAGGAATTTGTCTTCCCATTCGCGTCAGGTATGTTTTTTATTGTTAGTCTCAGAATGTTTTCCTCCTTTTATTAAATGTGATGACCCTTTTTCTGTAATGACCTTTTCTGTGTATAAGCTGCCCATTGCTTTAGACACGGCGTGATTCGCAAATTATTGCATTCAGGGACCTCTTTAAGTCATTAGAAAGGACATCATGCGTTTAAGAGGGCCTACATGTTGAAGGCGGCATCTACTTTTTCTTCAACATTTGTCTCGCTCTATCGAGGGGGCGGAAATCCGCACTCACTATTTTGTGACGCCTTTTCTGTCGATTTAATGTCTCTCGTGAGCATCATACCTTCAATTCCGTATGTATTGTGGGCCAGCGCTTTCTTGACGTCCCAAAGCCCACTTTCTGGGCACTTCGAGTCAAAGACCAGTTTTGCGGTAGGTGTCAGAATTCGCACGGTACTTGTCTCGGGTACGGGACCTAGACCGAATCCCTTGGGTGACGCAGGCCTTCCAGCCCAATATTTTCATCTCTATCGCTCCGAGGCGGGCTTCAACTTCATTGGTCGCAGACCAGCATTCATTACCGTATAGCACGACAGATCGGACGACGTTTCATGGACCGTGGATTTTAGGCGCTTTGATATCGCCTTATCGCAAAGAATGCCACGCATAGACCCCTTTCAGATCAGGCTGCGCCCACACGCGAGCTCACTCACCAATAAATGCGACTTATACTCCAGGAACTAGGAGTATCCAATCTCCTCCTATGAAATCTGCCCGTCTGAAGGCAATATGAGGTCCTCGATATTACTTGAATGAAGTGGTCCATATTCCAGGCACTCGTGCAACTTGTGAGCCTTGCAAATGAGACGGAAGACACTGGGCCACGTGTAGTCAGCCTGGCTAGAAGTACCCTGAACTATCTTGACAATGATAGCTGTGACCTCAGAGAGAATGTTATCAAGGTACCTCGTCTTTTACATTAGTTGCTTCTATGGCGAAGAGTATACTTTTCTCGAAAGGTATCAAAAATTGTTTTCTTAGGTGTTGTCAGCGCCACAGCTGTTAACTCGCCTCGTTTTGTCGTCGGACGACAGTCCAGTTCGCGCTTGAATGCCTTGTACGTGTGTTTGTAGCCCGCTTTGATCCAGTTGAAGCTGTGGCCGAGCAGGCCTCTCAGTTGTGGTATGCATCAGTCTTCCACCTGAGACCGGAAATGGCTGCAACTCATTGGTATGTTCAAAAATCTTAAATCCCTTGTGGTCTTTCTCTTTCTGCTGACTTGTGCTCATAATTCAACGTCATAACTAATAGAACTCGCTGAATTAGAACTTCTTGGAATAAGGCTTGTTTTGCGCTAAGTTTTGTCCCTTGATTGCCGATTTTGACTGCGACTGTGACCCCGACACGTCGCGCAGAAAGATTCTTTTTCCTTGAACATCTTCGATATGAATTTCATTAAATCGGAGTCCATGATTTGAGAAGTGGGGCAGTAATAGCGCGTTCGTACTTCCGATGGCTTAGATCGCGCGATCGTTTCGCGAAGCATGAACGCGCTCTGAAGGGTGAATAGTGTCATAGTTCCCAATATTTTTTTTAGACGAGTGTGTCTCTGAGGTTGCGTTTGTCCGAGACTCTGCCGCAGGCGCTACGGCAGCATTTGTTCAAGAGTTCCCAGATAAGGTGCCGACGCTCCTTGACAAACTTGACGAGGTTGGTCCATTTCGCGTACTGCTAATTCCACGATGACGTATTCGTGAATGAGCTAATCCTTGTGCTTCTTTGAACAGCTCTTTCGGAAAAAGATGGGAAATGAAGATTAATTTTACGAGCGTTGAATGGAGGCGTTGAGTGGTTTGTACAATGACGTTTCTAGTATAATTCGAATAATATGCAGGTGTACACTGATTTGGCCAGAATCCGTCCCCCAGTTTTCGATGAGGTTGGTCGAATGGTATCAGATAGTGTGGATGAATGGGCCAGACGCAGCGGTGTCGGTCGCGTTCTGGGACGTTTAGCTGATCACGTGGAATCCAAGGATGCAATGCAATTCATCAAATTGGTACGCTTTGAAAAAGAATAGCTCTTGAAATTCGCGTTTCTAAAGAGGGCTATTCATTTGCTGTTGAGGTTGCTTATTATTTATTACACTTAGGTCGTTCCGCAAGGACTTGCAGACCGCCATCCTGATTGTAGAAACGGCATGCGAGATGCGGCCGTTGAAGTGATTCGAAAGCACGGTCGTGCTGTCATGAATGATTTGCTGCCTTTCCTAGGTAAAGTTGTGACATCGACTTGGCCTGGCTGCATTTCTACAATTCGCCCCACTTATATTGTGCTCCCTTTCTAGAGCATCTGTCGGACACTACACCAAGTGGGGGAGAGCACGACAATTTAAGGCAAGGATTGGTGGTACTTCTCGGAAGTCTGGCTCAATATCTCGACCCGTCCTCAGATAAAGTCCGTGATATCGTTGCTCGACTGATGGAAGCTCTGTCGACTCCAAGCCAACCGGTACCTCTCTCTTTTCTATCTTGTAAATCATTCCTTTTGAAGGCAGTGGGCACGATCGCTGTGGGCTTGCGGTTGTCGCCAACGTCATTGGTGGAAGGGTTAAGCGGGTGTGGCCAAATGCTGAGATGGCGTCCGGCCACTTACCACTCTTCCACCAGTCCCTTCCACCAATGACGTTGGCGACAACCGCCCGCCCACGCAATCGTGCCCACTGCCTTCGAATCTTTATCTTTCTCCATGCTTGGTTCCAACCAGTCACTGCTGATTGAAACACGTTCCATTTAGGTTCAAGAATCGGTGTCCCGATGTCTTTCCCCTTTGGTTCCAGCAATTCGAGATACGGTAAAGACACTGATTCAAAAGCTACAATGGCTTTTGTTTGAAGCCGACTCTTATGGTGAACGTCGTGGTGCTGCATACGGCATAGCTGGTATTGTCAAGGGAATGGGTGTCTCCTCACTTAAGGTTAGCAGTGGTTTTAGTGACCGTTCGGTCTGCTGATAATGAGAGTCAATCGATTGTCGCAATTTTGCTCGTATTCGGGCCACATGTTTGACGGCTTCTGATTTGGATTATAGAAAACTAATCGGATGGGAGATGGATAGGTACAAACTCCTTCCCCAGTTCTCTCATAACCTGTGGATGGCGGGCCTGAACAGTAGATTTCTGCTGGCCCCTTCTTGGGTCTTCTCTTTTCTAAGGTTCCATAATTTTTGTGAAGCGTATGGGGAAGGGGGGGGGGGAGCGAGGCTGAGTGATCAATCTCTCAATTATATCCGGCATCTTGTACCCGTTGTTGTAATTCTGCGGTCCTGAGGTGCTTTTAATGGATAATTGTGCATCCCATTTCCATGGATTCGTTGGTTTTTACGGCATTGCATATGAACGCGGTCTGCTAGGCTGTAGGACAATCCGAATCATAAATAAAATACAGCTTGAGACTAGAGTTAGCAGATTCAGCAGTGTTTGATCAATGTTTGCCTTTTCTGCTGCATATCTTGCTTTTACTCAGGAACTGGATCTTCTACCAGCTATTCAAAAAGCACTCTTAGAGAAAAAGAATGCCAAACATCGCGAGGGTGGCTTGCTAGCGTTGGAAATTCTGTGCAGGTATGCGTTTTGCTCTAAATAATGGCAATGATCTATTTACAATGCTGCGTTTCAGTACTGTTGGTAAACTTTTTGAGCCATACATGATTCAAGCGTTGCCGTCACTGCTGCTTTGTTTCGGTGATAGCGATGAGAATGTCCGCAAAGCGGCTGAGGTTAGGAACGTTCTGTATCAGGTGTAGTTCATCTTATTCATGAAATCGAGACATTGGATAACTCAGGATACTGCTGTGGCCATGATGTCATCAATGTCACCCCATGGAACGAAAGCTGGTTCTTCCATCACTACTGACAGCACTTGACGATGAGTCTTGGCGGACGAAATGTGCAGCAGTGAGTTAGCAGCCCCTCTTTTGCCATTTCATTCAACTTGTGCAAGGCGTAGATACATCAATTACTTTGCAGACCGAGCTACTTGGCTCCATGGCGTTCTGCGCTCCTCGACAACTCTCAGCCTGCCTACCTAATATTGTTCCAAAACTTATCGAAGTATTGGCGGACTCATCGTCGAAGGTAATTACTATAATCTTGTTCTCAACTATCATTAGTTCTCAGCTCTCTGATTTAGGTCCAACGAAGTGGTGAAAAAGCCCTTAGACAGATTGCGAGTGTCATCAGGAATCCAGAAATCTTGGGAGTGTCAAATCAACTAATTTCGGGTTTGCTGGATCCGGCCAACAAAACTAATTATGCTTTACAGGTAAAAGAGACTTGAAGTCTGGTCTCTTATGATGCTACATCAGAAGGTCCCATAAGTTCCCTGATTTTTTTTCCATTACTCGTTACTTTTTGAATTCGCCCTGTTTCTCTTGAAGTAGGTTGCTGGGTGGTGGGGTGCGGGGAGGGGGGAGGTAGTGGTCCAGTCATGAAGAAGCGGGATGCTGCGGCAGAAATCAAACAAGCTCAGGCGAGAGGCACGTAGCCACGTACAGTAGGGTGAAAGATCCATCGCAGGGTCAAGCAGCATGTATACGTTCATGGGCATCTTGACACGGTGCGGGCGGGGTTTCTAACCACCGCAACCTCCCAGCATCCTTGCGTTTTCAAGTGGAGATAGCGACTCACTGTGAGACCTGCGTTCCTCATGCACTGAAAAGGTGTCATCTCAAAGACAGTCACGGAACGTTGTAGACATGATTCCACCCATATCTCAGCACCCTTGTAACCAGCTTGACTCGTTTATGGTCCATTTCACATAGTCTTGTTCGTTGCTGATGATGGGGCACGTCCAGGGGGATGGCGGGAGGAACTGGCTTTGGCGTGGCGCCAGCCCTTTCCTCACCGCTTGTGGAAGCTGGGCTGGCAGACGACCGTAATTGGTGGAAAACTGGATGTCACCACGCCGTACCAAGCTCTCTCTCTCTCTCTCTCTCCCTCTCTCTCTCGGTCCTCTCTCACCGGGCCCCTCCTCCCTCTTCTCTCTCTCTCTCTGTCTCGTCTCTCTCCTCTCCCTCCTTGACACACCTCAACGTTCGTAGCGAACAAGACTGTAAGTGCAGTCTCGTGGAAATCATATCGCTTTGTCCTGACAGGGTCTACTAACTAAGAAAATTTAGAAATGGAACTTATCGGTGGGACCCGTTAATGGTGGTAGTAGATCAGTAAAAGAGAAGCATTTGAGAATCAGGGCTGTCTCAATACCAAGTTCATCCATTACATCGATGCGCCTTCGCTTGCGTTGATTATGCCGGTTGTACGACGAGCTTTTGAGGATAGAAATAGTGAAACTCGAAAAGTCGCCGCACAGATCATTGCGAATATCTACACTCTCACTGAACATAAGGTAAAGTGTTCTGAAAACGGAGAATTAGTATTGAGCGTGGGGAACCAGGATCTGGAAACCAGTACATGTGTGATTTGGTGCCGGGTCTAACAAAAATCGCTGCTGCGACCGTGCCGAGAATTCGCGAAACGGGTGGCTGTGCTCGTGCTCTTGGAGCGATTGTTGCAAAGTCCACCGGTGCAACAAGCGAGAAACTACGCGGAAGTATTGTGCCTTGGTTGAAGGAAAAATTGGTAATATTAGACATTAAAATTTTTACAACTACATGCGGTAAAAAATCCATTCAGGTGTCTCCTCATTCAACCGTCGATCGTTCTGGAGCAGCCCAGGGTCTCTGCGAAGTATTGGCAGGCATTGGCACTGAACAACTTGAATTTGTTATGCCCGAAATCATTGCGGCTACCGAAAGCACAGAGGTAGGGAATACAGTTAATTATTTCAGTGAGGTCAAAAATGCTTCTTTATTCAAATATTTTTCCTGCTGAACATCTAACGGGATGGCAGAATATCAGCGTCACTGCTGAAACTCGTGATGGCTACATTCTTATGTACATCTATACTTACCAATGGTGTTTGGAGAGAGTTTCTTGCCGTTCTTACCGCAAATTGTGCCACCCATTCTCAAGGCTTTAGCTGATGAGAACGAGTATGTTACCTTCCTGTCATATCATCTTTTTCTCGCAATTCTTTCTTTCATTCATTTTGTGTGAATCTGTTGAAGAGTGCAGTAGGGCGTGGTCACCGATCCACTTGCCCCGCGTGACGGTTTCAGGCTGATGACGCGGTTTTCAGCTTGTTTTGCATTACAGAATTCAAAACTTCTCAAGTTTGCCTCTCCTCGGAGCCATTTTATCTAGTTCGTACTCATCAAAGTGAGTTGAATCAGTCGCGCGATTGCTATCGATCGATCTCCTTGCCAATTATGGTTTGTAGTGGTTCAAAGAAGTTTCTACCTTCAATCGTGTGTCTGAATAGACCATTGAAAGCTGGTTGCATGTTCAAGCTGTGCAAATGCAATCGCTTTAGCTCTGCTTCCCTGGAAAATCGGCGTGACTGAATCCCAAATTATGGACGCGGCTTCATCTGGCTTGGTAAACCAATGTAGAGAGCGGGCAATGTCGAGTGCAGATGGATGTCACTGGGTTTCAGTAAGTCCATGTCCATGGAGTGAGACCTATGGGGACGAATATCATTGGAATACTCCAATAAATATCATTGGAATAGCTCCCAATAATGACGTCTATCCCTTTCCCCACCTATCTTGCTTGCTGCGTCCTCAACGCCGGTGGAAATAGAGACGTTGAAGTGGATCATGTCGGCGGTACAACATAATTCAGAGAAGTGTTATTTAGCAAGGCCCGAGTATTGTCTACAAATCCTTTCACTCGAAAACGCGACGTTTTGGGCAAAATTTGCCTTTCTTCCAGAGCCATAAATCGAAACCCATTTTGCGAAACAATCCTGTCCTAATCCATTTCAGTTGCATAGTGAAACTCAAGGTAAAGACAGTCTGTAAAGAAGTATCGTGAAGCAGGGCTAACCTTTCGCAGGAGAAATGCGTTTTGCCCGTCGGCAAAGCTGAAGCTTAACGAATTTGGGCAGTGAGGCTTTCTATATGTATTTGAAACGCAATAATAAGGTAAACTGGCTTTTAGAAAAAGATTTTGAATTTGATTATCCATGCCCAATCAGTTCAAAATCTTCCCCAAAGGCAGTATGACCCTAATTATTGCGTTTCAAATACGTATCAAAGCCTCACTGCAGTTCTTAAAGACAGCTAGTAGCCATACCATTGAGGGTGTATGGCGACCTAATCAGCCCCCAGATTGTTGATGATGTCCCGTGTCCCCCGCCCAAACATGCCCGGGAATGGAGATACAGGGCCGTGAAACACGCTAATTCTTCCATGCTCCGCCCACTGCCTTTTTACGGCGCAGATTCCCGCCGTTGATAACATCCGTTGCAAGCGCGCCTGTCGCGTGCGGCTCCTTGGCACTTTGCCAAGTCCTTTAATTGCGCTCTCAAATACGAGTAAAACGCAATTTCCTGATGCGGATTACATTGGAGGTGCCTCTAGCAAAATAAGAGCAGAAGATGATGACGAGGGTCAGAACCTAAAAGCGACTGTGCCACTTCTGCAACATCCCTCGGAGGCCACGTATTTCCACGAAACATGAAAATAAAAACTAAAAACGGCATACTCGTTAGTTTAATACAAGCAAGACGCAATTTCCTGATGCGAATAAAATTTAAGGTGTTGCTCATGCTTCAAAATCCATGTACAAGGAGATGAAGATGACACAGGCTAGAAATGAAGCACAACGATGTAAATGTAAACAAAACAAAAATGAAAAAATCAAGGAAAGGCAAATTAGATAAACTGGCCTGTAAATTTCTACGATCCGGCGCGAATCCGGCGCCAAAGCCATAGAAATAACTTAGAAATATAACGGGGGACGCCTATTGTTTTTTATTCATCATGTTTTCTTGTGGAATTCCGCCGGCCTCAATGATCGGATTCTGCGGATGCAGACGCCGAGTTGCTCTTGAGTTCTGCCCCTTGTCATCATCTTCTGCTCTTATTTTGTAGCACCTCCAATGTTATCCGCATCAGGAAATTGCGTTTTACTTGTATTTGAGAGCGCAATTAAAGGACTTGGCAAAGTGCCAAGGAGCCGCACGCGACAGGCGCGCTTGCAACGGATGTTATCAACGGCGGGAATCTGCGCCGTAAAAAGGCAGTGGGCGGAGCATGGAAGAATTAGCGTGTTTCACGGCCCTGTATCTCCATTCCCGGGCATGTTTGGGCGGGGGGACCACGACACATCGACATCTGGGGGGCTGATAGTCTCATACACCCCTCAATGTGTATGAGCGTACTATGTGTCTTTAAGGTCAG